GGTACAGGGTTTACAATTTAAATATGTGTTGGAGCAAAGACCTGGTGTTCTCTGGTTTGTGGCTGGAGAGCAAAGATACAGGTGTGTGCAGCTGAGCTGCTTGCCTGGCCCCCTGCACCATCAAAGCAGAAGAATTCACCTCCAGTTCCAGGCTGCCTGGGTGTGATGTGTCACAGTTCACCCCTGCCTGTGCCTCCCCATTAAATTGAGAAAGCATGCCATAGGTGGCAGTGTCAGATGATGGCTTTCAATATCTAAAGCTGCACGAGATGAAACTCACCAAGAATTGAGGCTGGAAAATAGAGGGAGAAGTTCCAAAGACCGATGTGGTGGTCATTACAGAACCAGCCCAGCTATATCCATCATGTTTTGTTGGAAACCTAGTGTGTGTTTGCCACAGGAGTGGCAAAATGGAATTGTGTGCTTGTGTTTTCATACTTCAAATGATAAATTTTTGTCTTTCAAGCAAAAGCTGTATCAATCATTTGTTTATTTTTGTAACTAGATGCCTAATACTTAGTCTTGCATTCATCTTAGTCACAAAAGGAATGGTGACCTGATTTCAGGGCTGATTTTCAAAGTCTGATGGATTTTTTTGTTATGACTTATAATTTTAGCTTCACTATTGCATGTTTCCCATAAATTTTCAAAGGTCTTTGTCCTCCAGTTACCAGATTGGACCAGGCTGGATGAAATACAGGATGGAGGGCCAGACTGTACTGAAATGTGCTATGGGGGTACTTTAGAAGAAGAAGAGCTCAGTTGCATGAGGTGTCATAAACAGAAGTGGGACAGAGAGCCTGCTCCCCAAGCATCCTAGTCTCAGGGTCTAAATTGTAGTCTAGGAACATGAAAAGGTTAAAATGAGGTATGGACCACGGGACACAGCCACAGTGAAGAGAGCCTGCTTCACAGAAGTGTGCAGTCATGATGGACTGAAACCCTAAGGTATATCTGAAGGGCTAAATGCATTTCTGTAGGACTGTTGTGGTGATACAGCCCTCCCAGACCAGTAGGTTTCAGGACATGGGTCTGTGCACAAGCAGGCATGTGCAGGCTGCTTCTCCGGGATCCTCACGAGGCAACTCAGATGTGTCTGATGTGAGTGTTTCCTGGTGATCAAGTGATCTCTGTTGAGATGAGGCTTTGGTTCAGCCTGGTCAGAGTGTAGATGTGGGGCTTTTTTCCTGTCCCAGGAGCTGCTGTGTGAGTGCACAGCTGGCACACTTCACCTACAGCCTGGCTCCAGCTACAGGACAAGGCTGTGGGCAGCCAGAAATAACACCCTTCCAATGCACATGGTGTGGTGTTGGGTCCTGTGCCCCACTGTCTCACTGCAGCTCTCCTTCACTGTGCTGCACTGCTCTCTGATGCACGTGCTGCCCATGGAAACTACAAGTCAGTAAGCCTGGAATCACTAGGTAGTGTCTCTGACTACCAAGGGAGAAAATAGAAACAGCTGAAAGCCAGTATTCTATGTTGCTTACAGATTTTCCCTGTAAGCAAATTATACATTTTTTTAAAACAAGTGCTCATCTAGAAAAATTGCACAATTCACTGCTTGAATATATCTGCAGTGCTTCCCAGGTGCATTTATGGGTGTGTGGAATCTGAGCCAGCCCCATGGTGTGGAGTAAGTTCTCAACTGAAAGAACTGAGTATTTAACATTTTCCTAGGTATTGGCTTCTTTTTGGATGGGGACTGGCTCCTCCATTGAGTGAGTTTGTATAAATGTGGATTTATGGATTTGTTTAAGGACTGCATAGATCCTTGTGTTGAATAAAGGTGACATAAGGAGTAAAGCCTTCTTCCTGGGAGTGGCTTGCAGGCACAAGTTTTGAATGTGGTTTTTAATTTGAGAAATTAGGAAAAAAGTCAGTGTGGCTCAACTCCGTGATGTTCCTATTTTTAATTGGATTTTGCAGCTCATAATTAATTTCTTAAAAAAGGGAGATCCTGGCCCTGTAGAAGTGAGTAGGAGTTTTGCCATTGCCTTCAGCAGAAGATTTCATCATCTTTTTAGTTTCACTAATCCTCTGAACAAGAGAAGAGCAGCCTAACACATGGAAAGGATCCTTCCCATTTTTCCTCCCTGCTATTGCCAGTAGTGAGGTAGGAGGACCCTCCCCCCTTTTTCATTCCCATGCTTTCTACATATGTGCACCTTGGCAAGATACACTTCCATTTCGTCTTCATGTAGCCGTTAAAGGAGCAGTTTGTTTTTAGTCTTCACATCCAGAGACAGTCAGGTCTCTCTTCTCCTTCCCTCTTTTGTTTTTGAGTAGCTGCAGGAGGGCAGGAAATTGAACCTCTTTGAGGTCTCTGGGTCAAGGAGCCATCTGACATGGCTTTAAAGGTCACTGTGCTCCTTTGCTTTTACCTCATGCACTGGGAGCCTGGTATGGCAGCGTGCAGTCTGGAGCACTGAGAGGTACTGCCTGACATTTTGCTGAACAGGGCTTGGGTGACAAAGGAAAAACAAAACTCAGCTCAGGGCTGTGCAAGGCCAAAGCTGGAACATTTGGGAGAGGAGCCCCTGAAGCGTGTAACAGAGATATGTGTCATTCTGTGGGTTCACCAGTAATTGTGCTTGGCTTTTCTGTCTCTTGTAACCTATATATAGCACTATATATTTTCAAAGCTCTTGACAAATTTTAACAAGCCAAACTCCACTTCAGTCCTCGTAGCCTATACAGTTTCACAGAAAGCCCAGGATGCTTTTTTTTTCACCTTTCTGCTCTGTAGATGACTGTATCCTTCAGACTGGCTGTACCTGCCAGATTTGGCTGAGCAGCTGTCTCTGCATTTGCTTTGCAGAGTGTGTGGCAAATGTGCTGCAAGGCAATTTCCCTGCCTGGCTGTCTCCACTCTAAGGTAGGCACTAGAGAGCGTCAGAGAACCAAGGAACTGCATTATGATCAAGGGTTGTTTACTGACAGCTTTTTAAAATAATGCATGAACTGTTCAGCAAACTGGTGCTCCATCACAGGCGCAGGAGCAGGTCTGGGAATCCTTTTTGCTGAGGAGAGCAGATGCTGTTGGTCAGGTAGGGTGCAAAGGGCTGGGGGGACACTGCTGCAACTGCAGCTCCAGTGCATGGTGACAGTGTTTGAGGTACAGCTAAGCAGCCCAGAAACAAGACACCAGCACCTTGCTCACTAAGAAGATTCTAACTTCTTATTTTCCTGAAGAAATCCTGTCCAAAGAATAAAGGAACAAGAGGTGAGTCTGCAGAGATGACCAAGTAGGCACATTCTAAGTGGGGTAGTGTTATTGTTGGCTCAGTTCCTTGTCCTGTTGGGCATTTTCCCATGGGGAACTGTGATTCACAGCAGGGACATCCAGGATAACCTTTCTTCATTCGGGGATTGTGGGATAAATGGATATTTTGGTGTAGTCTTGCCAGCTGCTGCCCCTTCTTCACAATTTCATCCCAGTGGATCCTTTAGTTGAACTACTGAGCCAAATAAACTTCTCAAAGGCCAATAAAATGGCTCAACTTCAGTGAGGGTCTCAGCCTGTTCTGTTCTGTGTGGGGCAGATGACCACTGTGCAGGGCTGCCTGTGCAACAAGAGGTCTGCAGAAACTCACAGAGAACAGAATTTTCTCATGTGTTTTGCTGCAATTTTCTTTCCCTTTTCACTTTTCTTGCTCTTTTGCCTCTCCAGTTCATCATCATGATATACATAGGTCTCCTATATCCAGAGCTCACTCTTATACTTGCTGAATCAACACACTAAATATAGCAACCTGTGTCTCTGCACTGTCTGCTGTGGTCAAGTGATTGTTTCATGTGACTGGCCTAGAGGGGTCTTACAGATTGCAGCCTCACTGTGGCCTGTGGTGGGTTTTTTAAGATTACCTTCTTAGCAATATTAAGAACAAATAAATAAGTAATAATCCACTTAGAAGCTTGGTAGTGAAAGTGATTTCTTGTCTGAATTTTAGCTCAACTGACTGCATGGGGAAGACTGACATGGAGTTTCTATAGGAGGAGATGCACTGGAACATTTGTTGGGGGGGGAGATGTTACATTTGAATGCACACCAGTGCATGTGCACTGAAAAGGAAAAGGGAGCCATGACTTGGGATTCTTCATCAGAAGGTGTTAATGACTCCACAGATGTTACACCATGGCAGACTTTGATCTGCAGAGACAGATGTGCATTAGAAGATAGTTAGATATGAGCATAGAATCATAGAATATACTGAGTTGGAAGAGACCCACAAGAATCATTGAGTCCAACTCCTACTAGCAGACTAGAATCTCTCCTGTCTTACCACTACACCATTTCACCGCCTTCAATGGTATTGTTAATATTTTGGGGCAGAATGACACCTGATGAAGGTGTAGTACAAGAAGCCTGAAGGACCAGCTGATTCAAAGAACCAAAAATGTATCCTCTCACACTGGATGACCTGACACATAATTTCTTGGTCCCAGGGGTAGATTTTGTTGTCAGAAGCAAGTAAAAAAGGTGCAGTCCTTGGGGGCAGCAGGCATGAATGCTTGAGGGGAGTAGATGTGAGGCTGGCCACACAAAAGGTAAGTAGAACTGGGGTAAAGCATGTGATGTAGTAGTGGTGGTCACTCAGGAGTAGTGCACACCTGTACAGTGTTCAGGTGTTAGTACAGTCACTCAAGTTCTGCAGTAATACATCTGGCAAGGTTAGAGTGAGCTGAAAAGCTGTTTGAAAATCAAGCTTCAGCCACATAGCTGCTTAGACATTTGAGGACATTCTTAAGGCTTCTTCCAAGGCCAGTTGGCTGGTTTTCTTAGAAACAAGATGTAAGGTTATGTGAGAATTTTAGCTGTGGTAAAATCTGGACTGTACCTATGTCCAGTATAGAAGCCCCAAGTTATTTGCTGACCATGAATTGTGTGAAGGGCTAATGGACTCGAGTGGGTTAGAGGCAGGGTGGGAGGACACAGGCTTTCAGGTTGAGTGCTCAGTAATGCTGCTGCCACGCTGACTGTTCTCTCCTCCCCTCTGCAGGTGAGAAGCCTTACAAGTGCTCGTGGGAAGGGTGCGAGTGGCGTTTTGCACGGAGCGACGAGCTCACCAGGCATTACAGAAAGCACACGGGTGCAAAGCCCTTTAAATGCAACCATTGTGACAGGTAATGCAGCTCCTAACGTGGTGTTCAAGAAACCTGTGGACTTTTGTGACTGGCATGGAGCTGCCAGCTCCCAGAGACAAGAGACCTGGCTCCCAGCAGAGCGGCCCCTTCTGTCCCACTGCCTGGATCCCTGTACCATGGAGGGACCCTCTGCTTGGCTCCTGTCCTCTCTGCCTTAGTGGCCAGGCAGACTGGCAGATGGGGAATTCTTCCAAAGCAGTCTAATCCCACAGCACAGAACAAAATGTGGGAGCAGGTGTAGGCCTGACTGAACCCTGCTGGTGTCTGTTGTGGGCACAGGATTCAGTTCATAGGGCAGGTCTTGCTAATACTCTTAAAGCAGAGAAGACATCCAGAGGGCATTAGACCATTTCAGTGATGGACCTCTCCACAAAGCATCTCCCTAGCTTTCTGTCTCCTGATCCTGTAAGCCTGCTGTGCTCACAAAGCCAATGCTCCCTCTATGTTCTCTGCTTCAAGGACTACCCCAAGCACCACATTTTGGCAGGGTGGGCCTCACAAAAGCATTGGTGTATGGCAGGAGGAATGGGGAGTGCGTGGCTGTTGTGCCCCAAGTGGCCCAAATCTATAAGAAACCTCTAGGGAAAAAGCATTCAATTTCTGCATGATCGTTGTGTTCTCTTGGAACTGACTCTAGAGCTCCTAAAGAAAAGACAACAAAGGGCACCATTCTCAAGAGCCCAAGAGTGATTTAGACACATTTTATCGTTCAAGTTCATGGGGTTGTTTTGTGTAAGATCCGTGATCTCTGCACATTCTTGCTAATTAGTGAATCTTTTCCTACAGTTTTAAATCTCACTCTTGACATCTGTTTGAAGTGGGAAATGCTCTGCACCTTCATTCTGTGAGGGCCCAGCTTTGAAAGCCTGACAGGTGCACAGGGCCGGGGCTCTGAGGAGCCTGGCAGCAGCAGTGCTCTGGGGGTCGGAATTGAGGAATGAGGGGTGAGCTGAGCGCCAGCAGCTCCTGGGAGAGCCGCCCTTACAGCTCTCACCGCGGGTCGTTCCTACAGCCCTCGCTGCTTTAGCTGCTTCTGTAAATACTGAGCTTCTCTGAAAAATCTGCTCATCCTTGCTTGGCGCTGAATGGTTTTGAAAGCTGGGTTCTTTGAATTTAGAAAAAAAACAGAAGAACACCCTTCTCCACATCCCCAATCCCAATTGATAAGAAATCAGGGTGGAGCAAAGCAATTACCCCTGTAATGACTCTTGACAGCACTGACAGGATCGAACAATGAGCACTTCTCCCCCTCTCACCCCCCCAGTTGAAGATTGGCAGTGCCCTGGGTGAAACCTGGATCCACTATTGAGTAATCAAATAATGTGCTTGCATCTGAACATGTTATCCAGCTAATCCTATTTATATATATTTTTTAAAGAGGCTTAAGAAAATTACCCATCTTTTTAATGCAGCACTAAGGTTCTCAACTGTGATAAGGAAACGTTTTGTAATACAATAAAGCCTCTAGGAAGCCTGTGGGTACACCAGACCAGCAGAGAATATGCGTGGAGAAAGGATGTGTGGGACATAAACAAGGGACCCCATCCTTTTATGGGAAGGAAATTTGATCATTTTCACATCCTGCCTTTCCAAGAGCTTCATCTCCTTAAGTGCTCTTCTGCCCTTGTCTCCCCTCTTCCCGTCCCCCTTCCCCCACCGAGGGCTTCCTCTTGGATTATCTTTTGTTTTATCCCTGGATCATCTTTTGTTTGCTCAGAATGAGGGACAGGATAAGCCAAGGAGGGACCTCTGCAGTTCTGCTTTTGTTTAAGCACTTCTGTGAATGAGAACAATTATATCCTCTGTTTTAAATGTAAGGCATTGCCTTTCTCTTTTCTTTCCTCGAGTGGCCCCACAAACACACACACACATACATATATACACACAGCCCTAGGGTTTCTGTGTCAGGACAAACAATATTTTTAGCAGAGATCTAGAGAAATACAGCTGGTATTTTCAACTCCTTGGTCTCTTTCAGCCCTTTGTTAAGTGTTTCTTATTCTCCCTCCACATATTATCCCTTTCTACCTAGCTTTTCTCTTTGGCCACAAACTCAGTCAGTGCAGTCAAGAGATATATTCCTATAATCATCTAATAAGAGCATTTTCTGCTCTTCTGTTGAATCTGTAGATGAAGGAAAAATATTATTAATAAAATTCAGAGTGCTGAGGATTGTGCACTGTTAAACTCTATGTCCATACTGTCTGTGTGTGGTGATAGGAGGCAGATTTGTCCTTATTCCCCCAATTAATTGTTGCAAGCTTTTAGAGTGACCGTGCCTGTTCTTTTGTCCCACTCTGCCATACTACTGTTTTTCATTCTTTTCTCATCCTCAGGCCTCTTTGCTACCACCTATTGCAGAGGTCACCTCAAGCAAGCACTGAAACGAGCCTAAAACTGCCTTTAGCCATTTAGGCAGACTTTTAAAGATGTGCCTTCCTGAGCCAGGGTTCCAGCTGGAGAACAGTTTCTCTGTACTTGAACTGCTACTCTTTATTGCACTCCCCATTATCGACAGAAGCTGTGTCCACTCTCTCAAGCACGCTGCCTTGTTAGGTTTTAAGGAGCTGATTGGAGCTGTTTTAACAACACTGATGTAGCACAAATCCTATGCCTGTTGTTCAGAGCTGAAGGCTGTATCTTGGCAAACAGAGCATGGAAGGGGTGATTCAGATAGCAGAGGGGGATGTTGTTCACACATTCTGGCTGCAGTTCCCTTCCAAGACTGTTTTCAAATGTGCTTGTGTCTCTCACCCTCTGACCAATGTCAAAGGAGTATTACTGTCCTCTGTGTATAAGTAAATTTAATAACAAAAGGGATTCTCTTCTCCTGCTGTCCCAGCTCTATCCCAACACCATGCAGCCCACAGATCACATTAGTCAGTCATAGCTGTTCACACAGTCAGATCACATAGTTAGTCATAGCTGGCAAGCTACCACTGCTTTGAGTAACATCATATGTACTGCAAATGCTGTGTGGCTTTGTGGCAGCAGGAGAGAAAGGAGAATCGGCTAAAGTGGTGTGGAAAGCACCCCAGAAAGTCCTTAGTGCCTTCCAGATGCCAGGGTTATGTTGGTTGTTAGCATTCCCCAGGAATTTTGCTCATCAGAAATGCAGGCTAGAGTTGTTCCTCACACAGTGCAAGCCCTCAGCACTTCAAGGGGAAGAGTTTGACAGGGTAGTGGCACTTGCTGATTCTAGATAAATAGGTGTTTAGGAGACAGCAGCTTAGTGCCAGACTGTTGGGATGCATATTCCTCTCTGCATATGTGCACACGTGCTCATGGTTTCTTTGTTGATAGCAAGCTGAGAGTGCACTTAGCTGGAAGGGACACATCTCACAGTGGAAAATCCACAGCTGGTAGGAAAGATGGCTGAGCAATATATTCTCTCTCACTGTACTTAACCTTTCCTTTTTCTCCTTCAGAGGCTTCAGTGCCAAGCAGTATTGTGTTGCTAAGGAGATACAGCAAAAAGAAAAAAGAAGGAATCATGTCTGGGAGCAGGGAATTTGTGTATCACACATCCCTGTATGAGTTTTATAATTAGAGTGTCTTATTCTAGCATAAGCTGTTCTTTCTAGAAAGAGCTAGACTGAGGGGGGGATGATGGAGGAGGCTGTGATGGGCCCACGTGTGATGTGCAGAGCTGGTCTGGAACTGAAAGAGGTGTAGAGCCAGAGGTGCAAAGCAAAGTCTCGTGTCATGGGCAGGACTAGAGACCAGCAAGCCCCTGTTCCTTGATTTCTGAAGAGAGCAGGTTCCTTTGACAGCTTATCCTGTGGAACCTCTTCCACTGCTGCCTCTAGTCCCAGAAAGAAAATAAAAAGAGTTGTGTCCAGTAACCAATATGCTTTTTGACAGTGTGATTTAGCTGCAAAAATTTTGTACAGACTGTTTTACAGCTGAAGATAAATATCCACGTCCACCAGCCTTACCAAGAGATAGAACTAATGAAATTAGTCAGCGGGAGAATGTGAAGAATTAGTATTGTACCACTTTATTAGCTATAAACTAGCAAATATGGCACCATTTTATTACCTATAAAAATATTATGGGTGCTAATACGGTAGTTACTGATGTGAAGCGATGTACTGAATCTATAATTTTAACAGATCTGGCTATGGTGTGACTCAGCATACACTTTCCTGGGTTGCATCTGTAAAAGAGACTACTGGAGAGGAAAAGCTGTGCTTGGGTGGGGGTCTTATGGCTAGTCCTAAACTGAAGTGCCAGCTGGTACATATCTTTTTGGCAGCCACTCAAGCTGTTGTTTGTTTTGGCAGCCCTTGTAGCCAGAGCATGCTGCTTTTTCAGTTTAAGACTGATGAGAGAGATGGTCCAAGGATGTATTTTGTCACTCTAGGGCTAGAAAATTCTAGCTGTGCAGAGCCTGCTGTGTTGAAAGCCCAGTGTCCGCTGTCAGATTCGCGTGTGTCTTGCTGTGCCTCATGTAGGAGCATGGGGGAATGCCTCCTCCATCCTGTTTTGAAGTCTCATTTTTGCTATTCTGAAGGTATTAACTCCCCTGTAAGCCCTGCAAGTAGAGAAGAGATGACTTGAGCAGAGGTATGCTCATCGCTCATTCACAGAAGATGAGTAAATTACTTTTCTTGTGGAAGTTGTCTTGTTTTAAGGTTTCTTTGTCTTAAAAATGTACCTCTTGATCACTCATCTCTGTGTGTAGATGCTGACTGATCACATATGTAGTGGAATATCAGCAGGACAGAAAAGGTCCCCTAACTATTTAAAATACTTTCATTTTTATAGTTCTTCTCTTTCTCAGCCTTTCTCTGCTTAGGGTATTTATCCTTTGGGTATTTAGATTGACTGTTCTTTTTTTATCTATCAGTATTGGCTTTTTGGGGGAGTTGTTCAGTTTGTTCTTCTGCTTCTTCTTTCTGAAAACCACAAAACACTCAACTACTGCTTTTTAAAAAATACACTCGGTGCCCATATATGAGCTCTCTTGATTCTCACAAGAAGCCATTTGGATATTCTTCAGACCATTATTGGTGGCTGCTTTATACTCTAGTTCTATGGAGCACTGAAAAGACATGCCAGGTAAATCAGTTCTGTAAGTAGCTTTCCCTAGTGTTCTTGGAGCCTACAGAAACAGTTTACTCAAAAGCCAGAGGTATATGGAGGTTGGTGTGACATTTGTAGCAAATGTTTTTAGAATAAATAAGCCAGTGTCTTGTGGCTTAAAGTGGAAAGACGGTAAGCCAGAATTTGCAGAGAACTTGAAAACCTCCTGGTTTTAAATGCTCAACTGAAGTCTCTAGTAGAAGTTTAATTTCTGAGTGTGTCTGAGTCCTGTCACTGTGACAGGCTCCATTTTAGGGCTGTGGGGTAGGCAGCCAGAACCACTGCCTGCTTCTCCTGTGGTTTGCTTTCTGGTGCCATACGTATCTTAAATGACACTGTGATGGTGAGTATTATGGATTGGTGTTTTCAATCCCATATCTAATGGGTATGGAGTCTATCTCATCAGGATCCAGCTACATGTTCAGAATGACAAAATATTATGTTTTCTTATGAGATGGAAAAGTCTTTGTGGATAAAGAACAGAAGTTGAAAGCTCAAGTCCTGGCTTTCTTTTTTTTTTTTTCTCCTGGTTTTACCACACTTGTGTGATTTACAACTTCCTTGCCTTCTCTGTCTTACAATTGTCATTCTTACAAAACAGGCATAATATCTTCTGTCAACATTCTTCAGGGAGATAATATTCATCAGAATCCACATATTACCACCCAGATTCCCAGCTGAGAGGAAGGGAGAGATATGAAGCCTGATGGATTGTCAGCCTCCAAACTCTGAGCCAGATTTCTTTCCAGTTTGGAGTTAGAAATAAGAATTCAGCTTTCAAAACCAGCATAATTCTTTGGTGCTTTTTGCAAGGAGTGAGCACTTAAGAAAGCTGGTATTTTAAAAAATGGTGCTGCTGAATAAAACTTATTTGTTTTATTTATTTTTTTAATATGCAAACACATGCACACTAAATATTTGGTTTTATAGTACAGATGCGTAGATGAGCACTCTTCCCTGATATCTGACTCAGTGAACAAAGTGAGAGGGAGAGGAACAGGGAAAGGATAAAAGTCATCTCTTCAGCTGCTGAAGAGCCAGGGTAGTTGCCTGTCTGTGGTCACAGAGGTCGATCACACAGCCTTTGGTGGTGATCCATGGATACCTCAAGGAATGTCTCTAAACTGGGATATGTATTTTCTCCTCTACATAACAAGGAAGGAGCAGAAACCCTGTTTTCCAAAATGCTATACTTATTTCATTTCCTGCTTCCTTTATGTTGCAGGTGTTTTTCCAGGTCGGATCACCTCGCCCTCCACATGAAGAGACACATCTAAATATCAGTCAGCTTGGCATGGATGTCATCTGGGCTGAGTGTTGTGAGATGAAAGTGGAACTCAAGTTACAACGTGCTACCTTACAGGAGAAGAGAACTTGATCCCGTGCAGTCCTCTGTACAGGGACCACATGCTCACAGTGTCATGCTCCCAGTTACACTTCAATACCTACATCGGTTCTTTTATGCCTTGCCCCAGCTGGATGGGAGAAGATGCAGGCGAGGAAATGGTATAGAGGTGAAGTCAGTGAAAAAGAACAATTACTTACAGCACTTCATCCCTCTTGGATTCGTTTCCTGTTTTTGCCAGTGGAAATCAAAGGAGGCTTCCCTGCAGGTGGACGGCAGTAAGAGGGGCTTATCTAACTTGCTTCTCAGTGCAACTCCGTAGAAGAATATGTCGTCTTGAAGTTGCATATTTGTAGCACTAACTTTCTTTTTAAATAGATGGGGGGAAAACAAATGACCTAGAAAACCAAATCCCAGTTTGGTAGCCAAAATTAACCTCTTGGTTTTTTTGTTCTTTTTCTGAGAATTCCTAATTTTCAGTGCATCAGACTTCTCACAGACACTTTGACCTGTCTTGGTTTTGGTTCTTCTTCCCAGAACTGAGCTATTGAGATCCTTTTAAGTCAATACCAGTGGCCTTAATGGCAGTAGACTGTGGAGTGACACTTGTGACACAAACATCCTCGTTTTGGCCTGAGTTTATGTAGACTTCATGGAGGATTATATTTTTGTTGGTTGTTTTTTTTTGTTTTTTTTTTTTTGGCTATTGCACAACATATGCACTAGGGACTCTGGAAGCTGCTGCCACGATGGCTAAGTAGCCAAGGGATAAACCCCTGAGATACAGCACCTAATATCTCTGTAAGCCTCACCTTATTGCCATAGCTAGGACTTCTTGTTTATTTTTTGAACAAAAAACTTCAAAAGCTTGTTTGGAAGCTTAAACCTTTTTTCTCTTTTCTCCACAAACAAGTGATCTTCAGAACTCCTTGTCTTCACCTGGATATCAGTCTGGGACTGGCCACACAGGCATGACTACAGGATTCCTTCCACATCATGTGAGCAGATTAGCCACAACCCACGGTGATTTAGTGGTGAATTATGTTGCTTTTTCTTGCAGTTCTTCTATTAACCAATTTAAAACATTAGCCTTTTGTTTCTGTAAAGAGCACCTGCAGACGTTTTCATTTACACCTGTTTGTTGAGCATCTTACATACAAAAAAAAACCCCAAGCCAAAAATCCTACTCCAGTCTCTGAGTAGGAAATCAAGAACATCTTCCAAGTACAATGGCTTCATTCAGCATTGGCCCGTTAAAGAAAATATCAAAGTCCTGCTTTTCTGTTCATCAAGTTGATGCTGTAGCCCACTCCTATATGAAAAAATGTAACCATGTGAGCGGTGAAGGAAGGGATTGGATTTTACATACAGCAGTGAGGCATTTCCAAATGATTGGTCCAAAGTATTACTAACCTAGAGGTCCATTTTGGCCTACAGTGTGAATCATCAAGGAGAAGTGGAGGTCTCATGCTCACCCTTCCGTCATATTGATAAATTGATTTCTTTGGCTCAAAGTGGATTAAAGTCTTCATTACAAAAGGAAAAAAAACCCTAAAAAATGTGTTGCCATAACTTGTATTTGAACCTATTTGGCACTGGCCCTGACTCCAAAGACTGCATTTAGGACCATGAAAATGGCCTATGCAAGCAGGCAGGCGGTCATTAGGTTGTATATTTTGTATATTCTCGGACCATCCCTACAAGATGTGTCTAGAAACTAAACAAAATAGCACGTGGTCCACAAATGGTTGCTGCTCTTTTATAATGTATTAGCCAACTGCCCTTCTTTGACTGTTTTGACTCATTGACTGTTAAATATTTCCCTTAATTTATGTTTTGGGAAGTAAAATTGTACTCTAAGGGGAAAAAAGAGCAAACAAGAAACTCAATAGATGTTTTTAAGAGCCGTCATCGGGATCCTTGGCACTTGAATTCTCAGCATTTTGCAACCTTTGGTTCCAGTGAGAGATTGAATTTATTCAAAAGATGCTGGTTTTCCTCACAGTTTTCACAAAACACTGTGACTGTCAACTGAACACTTTGGGGACAGGGGGGAAATACGATGTCTGGCCCATATGGCATGAAATATGGACCAAAATCTAACCATCTTTTAGGGGCAATGATGTAATATTCATGATAAGAGCATGAGAGAGAGTGAAAGAAAGTCAGAAAGAAAGAGAGAGAGAAGAAAAATTGAATTTATTCCAAAGATTTAAACTAACTATACTCTATATGTGTATATATATATGCTTATATATATATATATGTATACATTTAAAAATTGCAGAGCACTGCTTGCTGACAATCTCGTATTTCTCTACTTCTGTATTTGCATACTTCTTATGGCCATTCCACCCAGCTGTTTCACTGGGACTGAGGGCCCTAGAATCCAATTTGTGTTGGAGCAAATAGAGCATCCTGCCAGATCACAGAATCACAGAGTGTCCTGAGTTGTAAGGGACCCACAAGGATCATCAAGTCCAACTTCTGGCCCTGCACAAGACATCCCAAGAATCCCACCATGTGCCTGAGAGTGTTGTCCAAATACTCCTTGAGCTCTGGCTGGCTTGGGGCTGTGACCACTTCCCTGGGGAGCCTTTTCTGGCATCTGACCACCTTCTGGGTGAAGAACTTTTTCCTAATATACAGCCTGAACCTCCCCTGACACAGCTCCATCCCATTCCCTTGGATCCTGTCACTGGTCACCAGAGAGCAGAGATTGGTGCTGCCCCTCTGCTGCTCCTCAGGAAGATGTCTAATGGGAATTGAAACCTCAGCTATGTGAAACTGTAGAGCATCCAGTGAGTGTATTAGATTTTAAAAAGTATAAGAGAATCCTAGAATTTCCTTACTGTAGTGTCCTAAAATTTATGCTCTCAAATTCTCCACTATGATATTCATTGGCTGTGAATCTGCATAAATATCCTCCTTTGCTCTCTGAACACACCTGCCTTTAGGCGTGCTATCAGTAGTATACAAATCTTAATTATTAAGTGATGGTTTAAATACCAGACTCTATTTAAATTGGAAAAAGTCAAGCAAGACTGTGTTTTAGTTCCAGTTGTCATTTACAGTCTTCTTGGCATCTTATTTAAATATACCAGAACAAGGGCCCCAGGGGAAAAAATGCTGAAATATATCTTTACGTTGTTCAAAAAGCAGGCCTACATCTAAATCCTGGATCCAAATAGCCTAAAAAACATAGAAAAAAGGGGGGTAAAACACAGATTTCAAATTTCTCAGGCTTTGTAGCAAGTCTTGAACTCTGAAGCCAAAATTTGAGCTTTGGAACCACCTCTTATGTTTGAAAAGGGTAATATTTTCGGCTATATGGTGTACCCAGTCAATCTCTTGACTTCAGTTTTTGGGTGCTCATATGCAAGTGTCATAGTCATTACTAAAATTTTCAACCGTAACTTTGGTATTTTATAGAAGGCTCCATTTTGGAAAGGCATAATTAGTGACACATTCCAGGATTGTTTTTTTTTTACAATGACAAGTTTTGTTCCATTGCGGATAATTTAAGCTGTACACTTCAAACTTGTGTAGTCTGTTATAGTTAGTTCCTTTTTGGGCCTGTGTCTCCTTGCTAAAGTTGTACAGTTGTTCTCTCTGTAAATTATGAGTAGAATCAGACTAAAGAGGAAGGGCTCTGTGTAAAGCAAACCCATAAATTTGGTGACAGTTGAGGACAGTTATCCAGCTGTAGAAAGGAGAAGCTTTACCTTGTTTCCTTCAATGTGAGATTTATGTCTATTTGCAAAAGAGAAGCCATTATAAGAAAATCAGATAGTGGTTTCCAAGGTTATGGAACTATAGGATGAAAACAGATTGAGCTGAAAGTCTCACAAAATAGTGTACACAGAGGAAGCAACTAAAATAAATGTGAGTTTTTGTGATTAGCTAAATAATATTTTGGATCAGAACAGTCAATTACAGAATCATGCATGTGGAAAGGGGCCTCCAGAGGCCATCTTTGCCAACTTCCAGCTAGAGCTGGTTGCTCATGAGTGTATCCAGCTGAGTTTTAAATATCCTCAAGAATGGAAATTCTACAATCTCTCTGTCCAAGCTGTTCCAACATTTAAACCACTTCAATGGTAAAAAAAAATTCCAAACATCTGTCTGTCAGGTAGGAATTTTTTAATGTTCAAATTTGTTTTCAGGCCTCTTCCGCTGTGCACCTCCAAGAAGAGTCTGGCTTCTTCTCTACAGTCTTGGTTAGGTATTTGGAGATAGCAATAAGATCTACACTTACCCTTCTCTTCCTAAGGCTGAATCATGTTTCTCAGCCTCTCTTCATCCATCATGCGTTCCAATACCTTCGTGGGGAATCTCTGCTAGACTTGCTCCCATATGTCAGTCATTTTTGTGATTGGGGAGACCAAGACAGAATATTCCAGGTCAAGATGTGCTTTGTATGTGACAGTGTTGATAAAATATATTTATTCTGGATTTTTCCATTATCTGAGACAAAGTCAAGATTCTATTTTAAAAACTAACTAATAAAAAATAATTTAGGAAGCACTGTTATAAATAGTTTTCTAATCAAATTTGCCAAATCTGCACATAAAAGTATGCTTATAAAAATATACTTCTGTACCACCAGCTTGAGGCCTGGCTAGCAAAATTTGGGTTTTTTCGATGTGATCATTGATGGTTCACTTTGAATTAAAAATTGTATTGTTTAATTTGTACTGTATCAAATATGAAGACTCATGATGCTGTATTTTAGTCACTTCTTACACTAAAACAGCACTTCAATGCATCTTTATTCTGTTTGGTTTTCCCCTTAGGAGATAAAGAGCAACATAAAATATCAGATATATTTTATAGAGATTGGTCTAAAAGTGGATGGCAGAATCCAGAGTATTTTTCATTATGTCTGAGTTGTTCTTTTTCAGTAGCTAGTACTCAATCTAGACAATTACATTATCTGGCTAAACTAGCAACTGAAGTGAAATTCTAGATTCTTTCAATGTCTTGGACGAGGCCCTGAGCAGTCTGATCTCACTAAACAAAGCATTGAATCTTGGATTAGGTGACCTCCAGAAGTACCTTCCAATATTAATTTTTCTGTGTTTCTATGATTCATTTCACAGCTCTTACTTATTAAATGTGTACTGGTTCTATTTCGTCATAGTCTTGTGTTGATGAAACAGACTGTAGGGCAGATCTGTAGGTTTTTTCTCAAATTCTGAGAGTTTTATTCTTCTTAAAATTTATAAGGTTTCTTCATGAGGGAGACCTAGAAAGGAAAAAATCTTAAAAGAACCCAGACCCTTAGCAAACCAGTTTGAAGCAACATCATACCTTGATATGTGTCACAGCTGCAAGGACTAGCCAGTTATTATGGAAACAAGTTTGCTAGACTGGAAGACCCATGTGATAGGTGAACATTTTTTTCATTCATTCTTATTTTCCTCAGACTTTTTGGAATTGCTTTTTTTCTTGGGGTAGCACATTTTCACTTAATGCATGGAAAGCACTGACCAAACACAAATGGAGAAGAAGAATCTGAATGCAAGAGGATCCCTCAGTCCTTGCTTTCAGAATTGTTTTAACTTCAGGCTTTAAAAAGTAACTAATCACTAGGGTGTATAGCTAAAATGGAGTAGATCAATATGATTGTTGCAGTGACTGATTGTATCTTAGTTGTGACCTTTTTGATGTCTACAGAATCAGGCTTTCTCCCTCATTTTTTTCTGACCCTAGACAATTTGGGGTTTGTATCTAATATAAAGGTTGCTCCTCCTATTTAATACACTTTCTTTGTCTGTATACAAAAGAGGTGGTAATTGGTACTTTTGGCAAAGCTGATGAAGTCCAACTTTTTTAAGTGTTTCCCATCCTCTTCTCTAAATGTATGTCAAAATCTTTAAATTTAAAAAAGAGGAAAATTTTGTAAATAATTTAATGTTACAAGGCCAGCAATCAGTGGATCAAGGGCTTTTACTCTTGATTTCATTCAGGACTTGGCACATTCTGTCATTCCATCCAGTAAGACTGTTTTTGAGCTTTCATATCCTGGGCGATGCTCTAACCCAGAACTTCTAAACTACTTGTTGCTGATTTCAGATAGAATTGCACTTGTAAAGATATCTACGTACCAAGAAAAAAAAACAAAAACAAAACACAATGCTTGACAATAACTATTTAACTTTGTCTTGAAAAAATAGAAGTATTTTTCTCCCAACATTGACAAGTCTTGCCTGTCTTTCAGTAGCATTTAAACTACACCTTCATGAATGATCTTTTTCAGATCATGCTTGGATATTTTTCTTCTTTTTATCACACTTGAGTCTCTTTTTATTAATAGTTTAGGGATGAATACTGCAGTCTTTCTCCTCCACAGCTCTGCACAGGCTTCAGTGGCAAGATTTAGCATTGTAACTACTGTAGGATCTGGCCTACCAGGTACTAAGATCTGTGTTGTAAAGCTGAGAATTTCCTTAGAGTTCTCCCTTAGAGGAAGAAGTCTTGAGAATACTTGTGCTATATAAGTTATATATATAATTATATAGTTGTATATATAAATTATATACATAAAAATGTCAGACTGGGGAGTAGACTGCCTTTATCACCTCAAGAATGAGTTTCCCTACCTGAAAACTTTCAAATGCAGGCGTCATTTTAGAAACAGGGTTTTATAGTTTTCCTTAATGCTTGTTGATGGCATTTTTGGTGTAATAATTGAAGTTGGAATCTGTGATTTTCAAAATGAAAGCTTTGATGACTTTTTTTTTTTTTTAAAGTGCTTTGGTCCTAACTTCTGTATACTGCCAGAAGACAGGTTCTCCACCCTGTCTCTGTGTGGGTGTGGATGTACATCAGTAAACTGTATATACCTACACAGAAACTGAGCTACTGACTTACAGTTTGTAGTAGCCAACTGTGCCTATTGCTTTCATTTAAGGAGGGCACTTGCTGTTGCCACTGCATTTTAGGAATCATGTCAGCTTCTGTGGGAAAGTTTTCAACAGTGCTGGGAAATACATGTTGCTGTGTACTGTGAATGAGTAGGCTGCAAATCTGGGGATTGGGAGGGAAGGTGGGAAGGGAGGGGGATGAGGGTTTCGCATGTACACACTAAAGGGAACTAGAATGGACAGAAACATGGGAATTTTAGCCTTTATTGTTGGGCTCTCGGGGAAATGAAAAGCTAACATGCAGTCCCTGGAAGGCCTGATGGCTGAAGGGCTGATCTTTATGTTTTGCAACATATGTTTTACCCATCACTCTGTATTTAAATCCCCAGACCTGTCAGATTCTTGAAGTAGATCAAAACACTGGTTTAAACACTACTTTGTTACCAAGGCCATGTCTCTACCAGGGAAGCTGTCCTACATTAAAATCTAGCTAAACCACTTTGTAGCTGCACCTGTTATGTGATTGCCTGGATCAAGTTTGCATTGGCATCCTATGCAGTTAAGCTGAAGTGTAAGAAATGCTTCAACTAATTAAGATACCTCTACAGGAAGGTTCTTGCACCAGTTTAAGTACCTGGTTTTGAAATCACTGCATATAAACCATAAGAGCTTTTCTCTTGGAAACAAGGCCTTAGTTTGGCATGTCTGCTCATCTAGTTAAAAAATAATAATGCAGGCTGAGATTTTTTTTTTTTTTTGCTTTTTGCTTTTCAAAGCGACCTGTTTTCCCTTTTGTTCTTTGAAACTTTTCTTGCTCTCTAGCACACATTAAATTTTTGTTTGGGGAATTTTTGTTTAACAACAAAAACAATGACAACAAAATGTATGAATGCTCCCTATGGAAAAAGAAAAAGCCAAAAAAAAACCGAACAAAAAAACAAACAACATTGCTTGAAGGACTTTCATTTTGCACTATAATTTTTCTTTTACCAGATGTGTCTGACAAGTGCATTTCGGAGATGCCCTCGGTCACGTTCTCTCAGGCCTACTCTGGTATTTCTAATATATCACAGAAGTACCCAATCTTGTAGCCCTCAGTTCTGCCTTTTTTTGACATTTTATTTTTTTTAAGCTTTTTATATATATATATATATATAAATATATTACTTTGTCAGTTTTTTTGCTGTACAAAAAGTCTTAAGATTTAAAAATATTATTTGTATTATATGATGGTGGTATGTTAATGTTACAAAATTATTAATGAAGAAAAAATTTATTTTTGTTACTGGTCTGTTTCATAATTCTTTTTTAAATTGGTATATTGTAAGATATCTATGCAAAAATGTTATGTGACGCATTTTTATTTAAGAATGTAATATGTGTAATAAACTGTAGAATGTGTTTGGCCCAACAATGTTTAGTGTGCCTCATACATTATTTCTTTATGAAAACTTGTGTGAAGAGTGAAATGGCTTTTGGAGTTAAGGCTATGGTTCTGTAAACAGTTATTGACATAAAAATACAACTTCTAAGTGTACTTTAGCTCATCAGAATAATATTTCTGGATTTAGGTAATTTATTTGTAACGTGTTTTGTAACAGTTCAAGTGTTGCTTTTATTCACGCTGTGCAACATGTTGCTTTTGGAAAAGATGCTCAGGAAGGAAGTTCTTCTTAAAAGCTGACCAAATTTGGCTTGTAATACTGCTTCTTTTGGAGTCAGTGATTTCTGTTATTTGATAGTTTACACTTGTTGAAGATTTCAGCCAGTATTATTTTTGTAAAAGACACACAGAACAGTTGTGTTTTATTTTCCATGCTTAGCTTTGCAACATGTGTCAGTCAGTGGTCAAAACAGGTCTAGACTTTGAGGCTCCTGAGAGCTTGTGCTGTGCTTTGGTCCGTGTGTCAGGCTGTCTCACAGGAGTGCAGCATTGTTCTTTCCCCGCCTCAGTCATTTAGTCTCCCTCGTTAATGTCTGCAAAATTGCAAGCACAATTGAATCCACCTGGATGCTCAAGTACTAAAAACGTATTTAGGCAGTAAAACCAGTTATTTTGAGCACAATTAGTTTGCAGTGTCATGACATAAAATGAAATTACTTTTTTGAGACAGGCCAGTATCCCTTTAGGTTTTTGCTGCTTGTGCTCACGCAGTGCAGCAGCCTCAGTGGGCATGGCAGCAGGACATTCTGTAGGGCCCATCTGATGCCAGCTGGCTGAGTTTCATTTCTGGGACAACATGCCTCACTTGCCCTGTCGGGGAACCTGCTAGGATTGTTTATGTCAGACAGACAGAGGGTAGGATTCCCCTTCTGACATCTGCATCTAGAAGTCAGGTGATCACTCTAGCCTGCCCATTTATACTCCCTCTGTTGCTAATGAAGAGAGACATATCCAGAGGTAGCTCACTCCAGGGGATGAGTTGAAGGCAGAAGGAACTGCGGTGTTGTTAAACATTTCTGGAAAACCATATGGTCGAGTTGGAAGACAGTGAAGAAGTGATGCCCATGGCTGCTTTGGTCACTCAGGTTGTACCAGGTGTTTAATGATGGATGTAATTTGGAGTGTTTGGGTGTATGTTAAGAAACAACTCTTGAGCACTGAGAAAGGGCTCAGCCCAGGTCCAAATTTTGGGCTTGTGTTACAAATGGTCAAAACTGGATCATGTTTTGTCTGCTTCAGTATGACAGTGGCATCTTGGGGTCACAGGGTTTGAGTGATTGAGACAGTTGTCATAGCTGAAAAAAACAGTCTCTTTGTTGTGGATCAGTTCGTAGTATGTAGGTATGAACTGAGTTATGTTTGACAGAATTATTTCTGCAAGTAGAATTTTCACATTATAGCTTTTTTTTTCCTTGTAAATACAAGGTCTAGGTTCCTTTACTTTCTCTCTTTATTGGAAACTTCTGGAAGCTTTTAGCATCTCACCTACCTTGATCTGTCTGACAGTTGCATATGTCTGTACATCTAGACAAAAATACTGCTAGTGTAATTTAGTCCTTTGCTCTCCACCTGTAAGAGGGGCATCCAAAGACCTTTTGAAGGGCAGCACAGCATGAAACCCAACTGGAGGGATGATTATCAATTCCAGGTAAGGATTTAACCTGGTTGTTTTCCAGGAAGTTTCAGAAAATACGATGCTTTGCTATCAAACACGTCCTCTTAGAAGCAAGTAGGTATTAATCTGCAGGAGTAGCTGTCAGACACTTCCCTGGGCTGGAGGCCAGGGAAAGGACAGAAAATGAATGAACTCCTCCTCTTTGGCATTTTTCAGTAGCACACAGTCACACAGCTTGGGCAACTCCTGCTGTTTGGTGCAGAGGTTTCTGAGGAAAAAAATTCATTTACTTCTAGGGTTGAACTGTATATGAGCCTTCTGTTGAGCTCACCTGATGCAAACTCTCCATTGTACAAATTTAGCATGACTTTTCAGAAACAGAGTCATAGAATAGGTTGGGCTGAAAGGGACCTTAAAGATCATCTGGTTCCAAACCCCCTGCCATGGGAAAGGATGTCACCCACTAGGTCAGGTTACTCAGAGCTCCATCCAGCCTGTCTTGAACACTGCCAAGGATGAGGCATACAGACCTCCCAGGGCAACCTGTTCCAGTGCTTCACCACCCTCTGAGTAAAGAATTTCTTCCTAATACCTAATCTAAGCCTGCTCAATATTAGTTTAAAACCATTCCTGGTTGACCCATCACTATCTGCCCATATGAAAAGTCCCACTGTGCTTTTTATGAGCTCTGTTAAGTTACTAAAAGACTGCAGTGAGGTCTCCTCCAAAACCTTTTCCATGCTGAACAGCCCCAGCTCTCTCAGATTTTTCTCCCCTCTTTTTTTTTTTTTTTTAAATTATGATTATTATTTTTGGCTTTGCTCACCTTTTTCTAATGAGTGTAAACAAGGAGAAACATTAAATGTGAATGAAAGTGAAGGTTTGCCATCAGAATCATGGTGCTTTTACTTTTTACTGCTTTTTACAAATATTTGTAATACTTCTGGGAATTATGATTTTTATTTTTGGCTTTACTCACCTTTTTCTAATGAGTGTAAACAAGGAGAAACATTAAATGTGAATGAAAGTGAAGGTTTGCCATCAGAATCATGGTGCTTTTACTTTTTACTGCTTTTTACAAATATTTGTAATACTTCTGGGTTTAATTGGTTTTTTAAAATGTCAGTTTTGATATGAAATAAACAGGTTTTCATTAACAGTTACTGACCACCTGGCTGGAAATCTTTCCAAAGGCCCAGTCACAAGCCATATCTGCTGACTGAAAGCTCAAGTGCCTCATCATGTGCCTCTGTGGTACTTAGAGCTATTGAAGGTTGTTGGAACAATTACTTCCAGGGGCCTTCTGTGTCCATGGCTTGTCTGTCCATGGTCTTCACTCTTCTGGAAGTCTCTTTTCTGAAATCATAACAGCCACATCCTCTTTTCACAGAGCCTTCCTCATATACCCCTGAGCATGGTTTCAAATTCATTATCTGCTTCTGTTCTGTCAGTTTAATGTTGGTTGATGAGAGGCAATAAAACTGAACAAGACAAAGATGCTGCAGCTAATTAGTCTTGAGGTTAAAATTCTTCAGGGTTTTGAACACTCTTCCAAACTCAGTCAAATTTAGCTTTACCTTCTGAATTTCTGCGGGTCTTTTTGGAGGTGCAGACTGAACAAAAGTACCTCAAACAGGTAGAACAAGAATTCAGGTTGAGATTCCCAAGTAACATAGAGTGTGGGAACTGGGAAGCAGAGTCCCACTCCAAGCAAATGTTTGCCTTCTGGTTTGAAGATCTCATCTAGTGTTTCTAATTTACTGAGGTAATCAGGAGGCTCTTCTCTCAGGATTCAGTCTAGCTGATGTCATGAAACCTAGGACTAGTACTAAGCACACAAGTAAAGAGAAGTGTAGTTGAGTGACAATACCATTTTAAAAGCATTTTGGAATACTCAGGAAGTATCTTTGAGAAATGGGAACTTTCCTGCCCTTCAACAAAAGCTTTTTACCCTTGCAAAATAAATACAAGTAGCTAAAATTCAGCAATTATAACCTTGGTATTTTCAGGTGAATATTTTGGTCCCAAAAATAAATGTTACTTTCCACCTCTTTCCCGTGACCCTGAAATAGTGTGGCTGGTTTATGGTGTGGAAGGAGCTGCTAGAAAGAAGATAATTTGGAATAGGAAGGAGGTCACAGCCCTCATGATCAAAGAACAGCACCTGATGCTCTGGGAAACAGTGAAAGCTGCCAGTGTGTAACCTAAATACAGTTCATGAGCTGTGGCACAGAACGGAAGGACTCAGCTACAGATCTTTGTCTCCATGTAAAGCCATGCAAGGAGCACCCAGGCATCCACTCAAACACCTTGCGATCCCAAGTAATGATAATTACTAAACCTTAACTGTTTCCATTCTGCTTTTATTTTGTGATGCTTATTTTGCAAGCATTTCCCCAAATCGTCTCAGCCCACTCCTCATTTCTCTCCTTTTCCATATTTTCACACTGCCAGAGCACGGTTTCCCTTCCCAGCGCTGTGGAGAGCAGGGCGCACAGCGGGGCCCTCAGGCGCCTCACAGCCGGGCGCTGCGCGGAGCCGGGCCCTCAGAATGGCGCCTTTCTCCCCTCAGGTGCCCCGGCACAGCCGGCCCGTCCCATCGGGCACCTTTGGGCATCGACTGCGGGAGCCAGCCCTGCTCAGGGCCTCGGCAGCTGGAAGTGGTGCCATCAGCAGCAGGAGCTCTGAGGTGGAAGGGAAGCACGGGATGACATGTCCTCCCGTCAGGTGGGGCCTTTCCCGGTACACGGAAGCCATGCTGCCCTCTCCCCACACAGTGGTTCTGTCACCCCTCTTCTGCCATCCCCTATGTCACTCTTTGGTGTCACCCATTGCAAAGCTGTCCAGGCTTTCTGTAGAGTCAGGAGGGGGTTTATTTTCACTAAAGATGCATAAAATGTAACAAAAAAATTATAAAATGCCGCCATGTTCTTTGTGGTGGGCATTGCTATTACCTCCTTGTCCGCTTTTCTGTCAGCATTCCTGATGCTTGGTGCCTGCTCTCCTGAGCCATAGTATGGATTGAATTCAGCCAGCTAGGCATCCACAAGTCACATTTTCATTAGTGAACTCAACACAGAGCCGTAGTCTGATTGTACTGTTAAAATGTTGGTATGGCCCTGTCAGACACCTCCCCACAGCCCTGCCTGGCGGGACCGAGGGCCAGTGGGTGCTCAAAGGCAGAGACATGGGCGCTGTTTTAGGAGATTGTGTGGGGAAAGATAGGAGATTTCAGTGGTGTGAGTTGTAAGCTGTGCTGAGCAGGCAGCCCCTGGAGGCTCCTGGTGTGTTGCCATGTCCATATGAGCACTGCCAACTCTGCCAC